GGATTTAGTATTCTCGAGCAGTCACCCATCTTGGTACAAACCAGGCTCGAAGTTGCTTAACTTCGCCGTAAGCCTCGATCGAATGCATATTGGTGCGAATGAACATGACTCATGTTAATTATTTGAACGTTGGCTTATTTTGACATTATACTTTTCATATTAGATTTTAACGTTGGTTTATATATATATATATATATATATATATATATATATATATATATATATATATATATAAGTGCGCAGGTATGCAGAAAATAGAAAAGAACACGTTGGGTGCATAATCCGGGGTTCCTTAGTATTTTTGTTTTTATTTTTTTAAGAAGACAGTGCCCCATACAGAAGTAGAGCTTTATTATAATAATTTTTTTTAAAAAAATATGATTCCTTCGCTACATAAGAGTTCTCATGTTTCAAAAACGAGCCAAAACCATCCAAATAATTATTAAAATTAAGTTGGATTGAAGTTGGATTGATTCCAACTTAATTTTAATAATTATTTGGATGGTTTCGGCTCTCGTTTTTGCATGAGAACTCTTATGTAAAGGAATCATATTTTTTAAACAAAACGATATATATATATATATATATATATATATATATATATAGTGTAAACACCAGCAATAGTAAGATAGTGTAGCGGCAAATATATGTGAGTCGTACGAAATAGAGACACTAAAGTCCTGCTCTTTTTCATCGGTTATAATAATCACTGAAACCGTTAAAGGATTACGGACACATCACTTTGAAACAGCTATCCACGTATGATCACCAAAGTTAAGCAACCTCAAGCGTGGTTAGTAGCTAGATGAGTGACATCTTAAGTGAAACCAAGTTTGTTAAGCTTGAATGTGCGGTTGGTGTAATAGAAAATGTCTCTGAATTGCTATTCGGAGAGACGATTTTCAATCCCAGTCGTATTCACAGCGATGAGTTACTTAGCATGATTTGTGGCGACTGCGGGGGTCGGGCTTGTCGGGCTTAGCTCGAGTGAGTCAACATTCAAGTTTTATCTATTTTAAAGCAACACAATTTTTTTCGTAGTGCGTCGTTTTCATTCTTGATTTCAGCTGGATCTAAAATTATCAAAGTATTGACCGATATACATTTCGTTGATATTGTTCATAATAAGAAGAAAGAAAGACAAAAACAAATAAAGACAGTATGTAAATAAAGAATGAAATAAAATTAATATGGATAGTCGGGCTGAATATGTCTGGGCCTGTTCAAAGCTGCAGACATACTTAATAGGCAATGTATTTCTGGCTTTAATTTTATAAATAATTTTTAAAAGTCTTTTATGATTTGTATGCCCTGTTATTCAAAGAACACATTTTTTTTTATTTCAACTTACTGTTTTCAAATGTCCATTTTTCATCATTTATGCCGTACATTATAAGTTTTTTAGCGGAATGTATCTTTTGAGGAAGGGCAAATTAAATTTAGCTTGACTTTAAATTCGGCGGTGACTGGAGGTTTGGAGTGAGAAGTGTGACTGGGGTACTGTTGAGGAATTATTATATCAGTCAGCAGTACTGATCATAAACGTACAATAAAATTCACAGACATAGAAATACATAAACACACAGAGAGATACATAAACACACTAATGCAAAGAAATATATACAAACACATACTTGAGATAGGTATACATGTTTTTTTTTTAAATATATATCTGGCTTTGTCTTCGATATTTTTCTTACATGTCTAGAAATTTTTAAAAAAATAAATGTTTATTTTTATAGATTTCTTACAATTAATATCAAAATACGAAAATGTCTTTTTTTATTTCATTGCCAGAGATTTTTAAAGATTATATATTTTAGAGTAAAGCAATCATTTTAGGATTTAAGTTATAACAATAATATATTTTGTTAAAGATTGTAATGAACCGGACAACAATTGAGTTGCCACTGATATATATATATATATATATATATATATATATATATATATATATATAATATAGAGAGAGAGAGAGAGAGAGAGGTGGGGGATAGGACGATACATAAATTGTCGTCTAAATTAGGCAAAAATGAAAATAACACTGACATCTCATTTTAACAGATATATTTACTAAAATTACATAAACATATCGTGAAATACTAAAAAAGTAAATTTATCCAATAAAATCAAACTTGACTTCAACCATGGCCTCCAGATGATTTAAGAATCTTCTGCATTTCTTCTCGGTGGTTTCCTTGTTTAAGTTGGTGAATGCTGCCACCATCTTTGCCTTTAGTTCATCTCAAATGCGCCCCACACATAATAATCAAGGGGTTGGAAGTCTGGGGAATTAAGTGGCGAGATGTAAGAGGTGATTTGTCTGAAAGCCATGACTGGGTTTTAGCATTTATCGATCCACCCACGAGGATTGAATGTGGCACAAGGCCGGTTTAATGTGGGTATCTCCGAGCCCGTAGGCTCGGCGAAAAATATAGCCTTTGAACCCGCCTAGACGGGTTCAGACCCTGTCTACCTCCCCGGACGAAACCTTGCCCTTCGGCAAAGCTTGGTCCGGGTTCCTCTCTGCTAACGCAGAGAGTTCGACTGACGTCGCTTACAGTCAAAGACTGTATCACGACTCAGCTAGACTCGGAGGTCTTATCCTCTCTGTCTATCTGTCTTCATTTCTTTCCAAGCGTAGCTTGGATGTGGCACAAGGCCGAAAGTAAGGGGCACCCAATGAGGATCGAACTCACTACTCACTCGCAATTATTCTAGCGAGACAAGCTTGCTAACCATTACACCACTTCGAGGTGCCCATGACTGGGTTTTCCTGCTTGTGTCAAATGGTGTAGAGTCCTCTTACCAGACATAGGACATTCCACCAGCCAATCTCTTGACCCTGGACAGAACTGCCTCCTTAAAGCACTTGACGTAGGACTGGGTTGAGTCTGATGAATGGAAGCATAACGTCGTCATCACACGTTAGCTTCTCTTGGTTTTTCTATAAATATTCTCATGGAATTTTTTCTGATTGTAACTTGACTTTAAGAATTTGAGCGCAATACTGTGTAGGATATTCAATGTGGCATCCCTCCAACCTCCATCGTAATTACAATTATATTCATCCAACTCTTTCCAGATTTTCTGCACTGTCCTCAGTTTGACACCCATCCACTCTGAAATGTTCGTGTTGGAACTTCCGGCGCGAATGCCAAGCAGTACAGCATGCCGTTTCTAAATTTCTGGCGGAATTTGGGCACTCTCTGTGAGAAAAAAGAGCACCATGACGCACATGGTGCTCTTTTTTCTCACAGAGATGGTGCCCAACTGACCCTACTATACTGTGCAGTCGAGAAAATCAAAAACAAACAAGGCGTATGGGTGAAATTAAAAATTAAAATGGCGACATTACACCCTGTATATTATTCAAAGGCAAAGGATATTTAGGATAAAAATGAGCTTCTCAGGCTTGCTGAGGTGCGCCTCAGTATACTTGATATATACCGTCTCTCGGACTTCCATTTTGAATTCTGAATGGTCATAACGCAAAACTGATAGGAAACTCAGCTTCAATCAATTTTGCAACGCCATACGTTAGCTTCGCTTGCTTTTTCTATAAATACTGTCATGGAAATTTTTCTGATTGTAACTTGACTTTACGATTTTGAGCGCAGTACGGTGGAGGAGATTCAATGCGGCTTCTGGATTCAGACCCCCCCCCACTATGCTTACTAAAGTCAAAGTGATGATGATGATAATGATGATGATGATGATGATGATGATGATGACTAGACCGCCAGTTAGACTTCATCATTCCACTGGTGAAAACATAAACGTAAGCGCCTTGCTAATTATGTCTCGTCTTAGAAATTTTAATCTCCGCCTTCTTACTTTCCAGTCCACTACGACCTCCAAAAATCTAAACCCAGCGTTAATCATCGTCTGTCTAAATTGAATCGTTGTCTTTTAATGTCTGCTCTCTTTCTCTCCCTCCATCTCCCCCGCCCTCTCTCTCTCTCTCTCTCCCTCTCTCTCTCTCTCCTCTCAGTGTTTTCTCGTGCTCGTTCAGGCTCAACAACCTGTTTACTGTCTCAGTGACTTTATTGCCTTGCCTGGGGGTGAAATGATTGAAAAAAATAAGACAAAAAATCACGAAACGTATAAAAAGACATAAAGAATCATAATTACATTGTACATCTATCGATTTTATTCCATATAGAAACGGAAAAAAAACAAAGGAACACAGCGCTGTATTTTATCGAGACGAAAAATAACTGCTGATTTCAATATTTGTCACTGAAAATGAGACATAATTTGGAAAAGCTAACAATTCCACTGGTTTATATCTGTTGCAGTGGTATTTTCATAATATTTGTAAACAGTTTGAGGATATTTTCTTTTCGAATTATTTCATCAAAAGGGAATTGATATTTTCGGCTATTTTAATTATTGTTAGAATTTTCGTAACAGAACGCTCCGGGTTATTCCGCGCATGCGCACAGGTATTTGATGAGTGAGTCAAGCCTTAGCTGCTTCAAGCTTTAATGTTGCGGAATTGGAGGGCATTTTCTAAAAATTTCCTGATGCATTATGCATCATCATCTCCGGTTTTCTGTTTTCTGGACGGCCCCAGGGAAGAATCCATTCTCTGCTACTCTTTTTGGCATGAATATTCCTCATATTTTTTTTGTTCTTTCACTTTCAAATTGCTTCTTTTTTACTACAATCTTTTCCTTGCTTGTATCCGTTTCTTCTATAGACATTTTTCCCCCATTTTGTTGCTGATCTTTCTTTCTACGCTTCCTTTTTTTTTTTAAATTCTTTTCTGTAACTTGTTTACATTTCAATATTCCCGTCAGGAATTTGTTTCTTTTATTTTACTTCATTTCTCTTTTCCTCTTTTTGGAACGTCTTTGATTTTTCATAATTTTATTTTCTTTGTGTCATTTTATTTCCCGTTTCTCATTTCGAGAAAATTCCATGTTTCATTCTCAATTTTTATTTAAAGCCTTTATTTCTAACTGTTTTTTTTTTAAACTTCATTTTAATTCATTATGTCTTTCTTTTTCTTCTCTTTTCCCGAGAATGTCTTTCGTTTCTCTTTCGTTTATGTTTTATGCAACGTCTTTATTTCCATCTCTTTCCTGAATTATATTTTTAAGTCCCTTTTTTCTTCTCAGGGGAAGTTCTTTTTTCCGACTGTTTTTTTATATAAACCTTTTCTTTTCTTTTTTTTTCTTCTCATCTTTAATTTTATGTTTCTTTTCTCTAAATGTTTTTTCTTTATTTTTTTCCGTAACATTTCTATCTTTTTTATGTCTTTCTACATTTCTGAAATTCTTTTTCATTATATATCTTTCCTTCTTTTCCCTCTTCACAAACATCTTTCTTTTTTTGTTTCAATTTTTTATAGTGTAAAGCCTTTCTGTCTTCTTTATTTTCAACCTCATTTTAATCTTTATATTTGTTTCTTTTTCTTCTCTCTTCTAAAAAATTTCTTACATATTTTTACCGCCTTTCTATCTCTAGTTTGAACTATTCTAACTTCTCTCTTTTGTTGAAATTTTCTTTATGTTTTTCTTTCCTTTTCGTTTTATACAAAGCCTCTCTTTCTGTCACTTTCTCTTTCTTATAAAGTTTCAGTTTTTCTTTCTTCTTTTCTTAAATTCTTTTTCACTATATCTCTTTCCTTCTTTTTCCTCTTCACAAAAAATTTCTTTCTTTTTTTTTTGGTTCGATTTTTTATAGTGTAAAGCCTTTCCGTCTACTTCTTTGTTTTCAACCTTATTTTCATCTTCTTTATATTTCTTTCTTTCTTTTCTTCTTTTTTCTAAAACATTTCTTAGTATTTTACCGCCTTTTTATCTACCTCTAGTTTGAACTATTCTTATTTCTCTCTTTCGTTGAAATTTTCCTTATTTTTTTCTTTTGTTTTCGTTTTATAAAAAAACTTTTCTTTTTGTCACTTTCTCTTTCTTATAAAGTTTCAGTTTTTCTTTTTTTTATTTGTTACTTTTTTTCGCCATTTCTACTTCTTTCCTTCGTGATGCAAATTGCCAATGCGTATTTTCGTATAAAAAGAACCAAAGGTCCGCCAAATTTCTACATAAAATCGAAGTTTTCATTTAAATTTTTTTTCTTGTTGCAGGAAATTTTATTTTATTTTTTTTTATTATTTACATATTTCCCTCTGTTCGCATAACTTTAAAATACTAATGCTTTCATGTTTCAGAGAAAAAAAATCATGGTGTTAATCAGATATATGTATCCAAGTCGACAACATAACATGGAGAACAAAAATCAAACACGTGTAATTTTTCACCATTGATAACTTCTTTGACAGATACAGGTAATTAGTGTGATAAGAATTAATACTGTAAAATTGAATAAACTCCCCAGGCTATAAAAATTGGTGTTAATATTTATTAAATTCCTTACTTGTATCAGAGGAAAAACATAGAAAATGATTAATAGTAATGACAAATTTTAACGTAAGAAATTAAGCTAAATTAACTGATTTATTGATTTGTTTGTTTAACGGTATATCAACTCCTTATGGGTCATTTAATCCCAAGATGTAATTTTCTTCGAAACTTTGAAGTCATAAAAATATGTTATTATGTTTTCACAATTGAATACATGGTAGATGATACTCTGTTTTTGTCCATATACATGATTGTGTGGATATAATTACTCCAGGCGGTGAAGTGTGTTTTATGTTGTAGTTTTCTGGAATTTATATTTTGGAATAGAGTTTGATTTCTTTATGATATTGTAAGATATTATATAGATAACTATGATGAAAGAGTTCTTTTATGTTAGTTGTTTGGTTGATTTTGTCTAGCGGCATATCAACATCTCTATGGGTTTTTAATGTTGAAATCTAAATAATTTGAACACAAATTTATGGCTTCAACTAAATATATTTTGAATGCAAGTGTATGCCTTCAACTACAGATCCAATATATTGTAGGTCATTTTTACTTTAAAAATTCATCGCTGGTCATAATTCATATAAAAAGTATCGCTGGTATTTTTATTATGAAGATATAATTTTATGTTTTCGTGTGTTTTTGTGTGGGGGTTCACTGTTTGCCCATAGTTGGGACTCTAACAGGTGCTACCACGCCGGGCCAGGGTTGACCTGAAAACAACAGCAAGAGGTGGTTACATGCTCCTCAACACCCTCAATCACCCGATCAGAGACATTGCTGCTGGAGATAAATTAATACAATAACATATTCTACTATAATGAGTAGAGAAGCAGTCAGAATATAATAAAAAGTAACAACGAACGAAACGAAAACGATATTTAATGGCCTGATAACGAACGAAAAATATGAGATAACAATAACGCTTTCTACAAGTGGGTGTACAGTAGCCAAAGATAAGAGGGAAACAGAAACTACCCGAAAAGTAACGGTAATGATTCTATTCGTTTGCTCTAGGATCATTTTAACAAATTATTCAAGATGATCTTCGTCCACTCTAATTTTCTAACTTTCTGTCCTGTGGTAACAAAGTATCTCACAGTTTTCATATACGATTTCATTTTCAAGTCTTTTTCACAGACCTTTGGACTGTCATAGCTGAAACTCATCTCTCACGTGCCAAACGTCTTATTCATTAAGTTGGATCTTTTCTAATCGATCGCTTTAGCTCTAAGTTGAAATGGTGATCCCTCTTTCTGTTGAGACATGCTGATCCAGTTTTTTTTCTGTCTATGTTCCCTTCTTTTAAACTTATTCACCGTTCTTTTAATGGTTCTTGAATGGACTGAATCCAGAGTATGAATGTTGGTACCATTACTGAAGGCCAGAATGATTCTTTTCCTCTCACCATTGCTCATTTGGGAAGACAGTGGGTTCGACGCAAAACGATTTTAACTTGTTCTCTATCTAGCTGAATATTTCAGCGGGTTTTTCAGTGATTCTTACAACGAATGAATGCAAAATGCCTAAACGTCTTATCTGAAAACTTGGTAAAAAAAATCAATTAGTTCATTGATTTTTTTTTTTGATATTAATATTTTTTGCGATAAAACAAGATTTGGACAATTTTACTTTTTTTATTAATACATTCATACATACATATATATATATATATATATATATATATATATATATATATATATATATAAAATATATATATTGTATCAAAAAACTTTTAACTTTGGCGTTTGGTTCCTCATACCAAAACAAGGACAAAAGTCCATAGAAACATATATCTGCAAATTCTTCGATTTTGCGTTATTAAGTTTCAAGTTTACGAAAGACGTTGTTAAATGTAGAATACAAGATACAATCCAAACATACTTTGAGAGCGGGTTCCTGAAACGAGGGTAAAATGTCCATATAAACAGATAGCCAAAAGGCCATCGTTGTACCTCAACACAGAAACTCATAATTGATATGTCCTGGAAAGGGATATATTTGATCGAAGTAGCTTTGGATACTGTAACCACGTAGTAAACGGTAGCAGTAATCGACTGGTACTCGTCGTAGTCGCAGGTAATAAGTGTAGACTAATAGAATATCCAATGGCGTAGTTCAATGGGCGTCATCATAGACTTAAACCTACACGTCCGTCTGTATTTATGATGGACACCAGCCAATCATATTCCAGTGAGGGGGAACACAGGTGTATGCATATTCCATTATATCAATAACAAATGTTCAAAATGTCCTCCGTCCATATATTGATTGGCGGCCCCTTTCAGATACTCCCACACGGTATCGAAATGTTTCGCAGGCACACATGATACGTTGATGAAGCGTCTCTGCATTATTAATATCTACTCCATAAACCAATGTTTTATGTTTTAGGCGGCCTCGCAGATAAAAATCCAAAGGAGTGAGGTCGGTGGAACGTGCAGGCCATGGGACTGGTCCTCCCCTACTTATCATCTTTCTCTATATGGACTTTTGTCTTTGTTTGGGTGTGAAGAACCCACCCCCAAAGTTTGTAAATGTATTTCTGGTAAAAACTGTATGTACGTATATATTTAAATTTATCATACTCATTTTTTATCAATCTATCTGATTCTGTTAATATCTATCTATTTTATATCCATTCACCCATTCAGCTATCTATCTATCTATCTATCTATCTATCTATCTATCTAAATTCATATCTCTCTTGATATCTATCTTCATGTCTCTCTTCATGACTATCTATCTTCATATCTGTCTATCTTCATATCTCTCTGTCTGTCTGTCTATCTATCGTCATATCTATCTATCTTCATATCTATCTATCTATCTATCTATCTATCTATCTATCTATCTATCATCACTTTCTACCTATGTTCATATCTCTTTTCATATCTATATTCATATCTGTCTACATATCTTCATATCTCTCTTCATATCTAACTTCATATATCTCTCCATGACTATCTATCTATCTATCTATCTTCATATATGTCTATCTATGTTAACATCTTTCTTCATGTCTATCTATCTTCATACCTATCTTCATATGTATCGATCTACCTATCTACACATCTCTCTTCATATCTATGTTCATATCTCTCTCTCTCTTTCTCTCTCTCTCTCTATCTATTTATTTTCATATCCCTCTTCATATCCATATCTCTCTTCATGTCAATCTATCTATCCTATTCTATTCTATACATACATATATATATATATATATATATATATATATATATATATATATATATATATCTATTCTAGTTTATTCAAATTCAAATCTATCTATTCTCTATCAAATTCTTTGTTCTAAATCTATCTATTTATCCCTATCTATCATATATCTCTATTCCTATCTATCTATCTCTCTATCAAATTCTTTGCATATCTATCTATCTATCTATTTATCTATCTATCTATCTATCTATCGTCATATCTCTATTCCTATCTATCTATCTATCTATCTATCTATCTATCTATCTATCTATCTATCGTCTTATCTCTATTCCTATCGATCTATCTATGTATCTATCTATCTCTCTTCATATCTCTTTATCTAA